TTGTTAGATATGGCTCATATCTAGGGAGTTGGAGTTTCTTTTGAAGAGGTGTGTCTCCTGGTGAAAAGGAGTGTCTCTTGGAATAAAGGGGGTTGGGAGGAGCGAGGGCGTGATTGTAATTTTATCTAAGGGTTTGTATATGTCTATTTATATGTGAAACCCTATGGGATGTATTTTGAACCTCTCTGAAATATTGAAACCGCCGCTCGCTCCCGAGGACGTAGGCAATTCTTTGCCGAACGTCGTTAAATCTCTATGTTCTTCTTCTAGTTTGTGTCGATTCCTGTTTTATTCCGCGTTAAATTTCACAACAAGAATATTGTGCTGAACAACTAATGGGAAACCACTGAACTCAATTGTGTGGTTACTAGTTTTTTGATGTTCCGTAGTTCATAGGTTTTTATGTATATTGATAATCATGGTAGTTGTACTTATGCACTCAATAATTACATATTCCAAATTTCTATACATGGAAGCTAACTATCAGTATGCACTTTCAGCAGTGACTTGATGTACACTCTAATATCTTCAACTCATGCCTTGAGAAAGGATTCAGATAGAGAGAATAAGTTTTATGCAGGGGAATGTCAAGACCCTAGTTATCTTAACCACGATTTGGTAAAAGGAAACATCATAATTTGTAGCTATTCAATCAGATATGTGCTTGGTCTTTCCTCGGTTAAGCAAGCATTGGTAACTGCAAAGAATGTTAGTGCTGCTGGCATTCTATTCTACATGGATCCTTTTGTCGATGGGTTTCAGCTCAACCCTATGCCCATGGATATACCTGGCCTGATAATACCCTCTCCTGTTGACTCCAAGGTGTATTCTTTGTTACTCATGCATCATGGTTCTGAAGTGTCATAAAAATTTGCAAGATATGAAACAGTAGAAACACTATTCTTAACTTTCAACGTTAGTTTTTCTATAGTTAAATGGTTAATTGGATGGTATATAGCAATGTGTTTTTGCTGTAGTTCTCATGAATATTTCAATATTCATTTGGAAAACTTTACATCTTTATCACTTGGAAAAAGAAATTGCAACATGACATCATAATAGACCATCTCAACGATCCTAGAAATTATAAAAGTCCACAAGAAAAAGTGTAATTTACCGTTAATTTCATCCTAGCCTTCCCTGAAATTACTTCCCTTGTAAAACTGCAAAATGGCAAGTATTAAGAGATTTGGTGCCACGAGGGAGCTTGAAAATTTTAATATTTAGGTGGGAATAGTCATTTGGACTATAAATTATACACTTTCTGTTTTTATGAGAAGTTTTTCTAAAGTAGTTGGAGTATTTTTTTTTTACCACACATATAGTCTTCCAATCTCAAAAGAGAATAAAATGTGAGATTTATTTTTAAACATTTGACAAAATGTATCATTTTATATGCATAAACTTGCAAAATAAAACTAATATGCATGTTTGCATTTTCAGTACCTATTTTTGGTTGTTTTCCTCTTGCAATAGACATAATCTCTTCTTTCAACTATCTAAACTAATGGAGACCTTTTTGAAAATCATTATTAACTAATGGTGTGAGTTAAGCACATTTCAATGATTAATGATTTCAATATGGTGATGCACGAATATGAAAAATTAGGTGGTCGGAGATTTGACACCACTTTAACTGATAAATTCAATGAAACTTTGGCTCTAGCGGGCATTTCTGACTTGGGTTTCATTGGTTCTAAATTTACTTGGAAAAGGGGTAAGTTGTTCGAACGACTTGATAGATGCCTTGCTAATCAACTGTGGATCTCCTCTTATGGGTTTTTGTAGGTTCAACACCTTTGCAGAACTGGCTCAGATCATAGCCCACTTCTCTTATCCTTTGATTATTTTAAAAATGTCTCCATCTATCACTTTCGTTTCTTAAATGTCTGGGCTAGACATGATGTTTTCTTGCGATCAATTGCTGAGAATTGGAAATGTTAGGAGGTGGGCAATGCTTGGTACACTCTTTGGAAATTGCATAAGGTGGCTGCTGCTCTAAGGTCTTGGAATTGGGATGTTTTTGGTAATGTACATGCTAGAGTCAAAAGGGCTGAACATAGGGTGAGTATGCTTCAGGCTCTTGATGAGAATACTAATGATATCATCCACGATTTACAGGAAGCCAATAAAGAATTACTAGAGGTCTCTCTTTGGGAGGAGTTGTTGCAACAAAAAGCTGGGGAGACCCATTTCTCTCAAGGAGATAGAAGCACTAAATGTTTTCATGCCTGCATTAAACAAAGAAGAGCCAATAACACTATTGTGAGGATTAAAAACAATGAGGGGAACTGGATTACTAGGGATGAGGAGATAGGGGAGAGTGCGGTTCCTTATTTTTCTAAACTTTATGAGTTCCACGAGACCTCGGGCTCTATTGATGCCTCTTTATTTGATGATGTACATCATCACATGGTGGACCTTGATCTTTGCGGTATTCCCTCGGCTGAGGAAATCTATCCTACTCTACTGGATATTAATTGTAATAAAGCTCCGAGGCCGGATGACTTCACTTCTGCTTTCTACATTAAATGCTGGAGTATTGTTAAGAATCAGGTAGTGGAGGCTATTCAAAGTTTCTTTAAAGGGGAAACACCAGAAAATTATTTATCTGCCGCTACAATTGTTCTCATTCCCAAAAATATTCAAAGAAGCTCTTGGGATCATTTTAGACCCATCTTTCTGACTTCTGTTATTTCAAAGTTGATTACTAAAATTTTGGTCAGACGCATCCAACCACACCTCAACAATCTAATTTTTTTAAATAAATCTGTCTTTATTCAGGGGCGGGGGATCACTGATAACGTCATGCTGGCACAGGAACTCATTCTTGAAATTGATAAAAAATGTAGAGGGGGCAACATGATCTTTAAATTGGATATCCGTAAGGTTTATGATTCTCTCAGTTGGGAGTTTATATTGAAGGTTGTTAAGGCACAAGGTTTATCTCAGGAGTTTTGCAAAATTATCCTCTCTTGGCTTCATTGCAAAAAATATAGTATTCTCATTAATGGCCAATCTCAGGGCTTTTTTAGTGCGGGCCGTGGGATTAAACAGGGAGATCCTTTATCCCCTATTATTTCCTATTATTTTCATTTTAATACATTTTAATATTTGATTCTCTCTCGTCTCCTAAACAATCCTTTCAGGAGAAACTCCAATTTGCAATACGCTCATAAATTTAACATGTTGGTAACTCATTTAGCTTATGCCGATGACATGATACTGTTTTCTAATGCTAGCAAAAAAACGGTGAAGAAAAAACGGTGAAGGAGATACGGTGAAGGAGATTCACAGCTTAATGGTTGACTTCCAATCCGTCTCTGGCCTACAATTTGATGCTAATAAATGTAACATTTACTTGGGAAACATGGTCAATCGTTCTAATGCATGCTGGCTTGCCAATTTTACGGGCTTCTCCCTCTCTACCCTTCTTCTTAAATATCTGGGGGTTTTTCTCCTTAAAGACAGGAAGAGACGTATTCAGTTTGATGAGGTAGTGGAAAAGGTGCGGAAAAGAATTTTGGATTGGAAAAATAATTTCTTTTCCTTTGAGGGTCGTATTACATTGCTCGTGAACATCCTTCACTCTCTTCCTTTATATACTCTTCAAGTACTCCAATCCAAAAAAAAGTACTATTTTGAACCTTGAAAGATGTTTCAATAAGTTTTTATGGGTGAGAAATCACTCTGGTAGAAGATGGATGTCTTGGAAGAATGTTTGATGTCTTGGAAGAATATTTGCAAAGAGCTTCAAATCTCTGCACCCTGTATGCTGGTGGTTTGAGCTTCAAATCTCTGCACCATATTACTAATATTAACTTTTTTAAGTAATAATTTAATTTCAGGAAAGGCGAGTCTTTATGGGCTAATTTCATGAATGAGAAATTTTGCCGTTCCTCTCATCCTGCTTTGATTTATTGTCGATTGGATAATTCCACGATGTGGAAGAGATTGCTTCATATTAAAGACTGGGCGAAGAATTTCATTTACTGGGAGGTGGGTGGTGGAAATATTTCTTTCTGGCATGATTGTTGGTCACATATTTTGCTTGATATGAGGGATACGAGGTATTCTAGTCTCAAGGTGTCGGATACTTGGGTAGACGACCATTGGAATTTTCCTTTTCTCACTAGCATTTTGGGGATGGAGGGAGCTACGTTCATTTCCACTATTCCTTTTGACCCTCATTTGCAAGATACTCCTACTTTGGAATTTCCCATGACTAGCTCCATTACTAAATCTTTATATGCCTCTTTACATAATTTTTAAAAACTCTCTTGGGGTGAAGGGGTGTGCAGTTGGGCATTAACTCCCTCTATGTCTTTCCTGGTATGGTGCATTTTCCATTCTATAATACTATGTGATGATATATTAAAGTTGAAAGGTTTGAGTATAGTCTCTCGTTGTTGTTTGTGTAATTCGGCAGAGGAGACTATAGAGCATATTTTCTTGCATATTTTCTTCTCTTGTCCTCTCTTGTCCCTTTTCACTATTTATATGGAGTAAGGTTGGTTTGTCGTTTGGTACTATCATCACTCCTGAGATGAATCTTTTGCTCACTATCATGATTTGCAATCCGGACCTTAAACAAAAACATTTTTTGCAAATTTACCCTTATATCATATGTTAGTTTATCTGGATTGCTCGTAATGATATTATTCATGAAGGTAAGACCATTCAGAGTATGATGGTCTTTACTAATATTATTGCCTACATTAATAAGCTGTGGAGAATGGGGAGCTTTAAAAAAAGTTTCTTTTCGGGCATCAATTATTTTCTTTCTATGGGGCATACGGATTTGGATGAGAGGAGGCTCCCTCATCCACCGATTTTGGTTAGATGGCGGCCACCTCCTAGTGGGTGGATTAAGTTTAACACGGATGGGAGTTGGAAGGCCAACAGTTCTGGTTGTGGGGGAATTGGAAGGAACTGTATTCTTTTTTTCTTATCTCTTTCATATGATGATACTCTCATAGAGGCTGAGGCTAGGGCCATTTTAACGGCTGGTATTATGACACACCCGCCCCGATGATCACGCTCTCAGCTGACATTTTATTATTTTTGAATGTGATAATTGCATATTGATTGATATTTTGGCAAATGGTGCCGAGACCTCTTGGTTCTTTATTATATAAAGAGGATTAAATGTTTAATCTTCAATATGAATGTCATGTGGAGTTTCAATTACCGGGAGGGGAACCAACCTGCTAATTGGCTTGTTAATTTAGGTAGCTCCACTGATATTTGTAGGGTGGGATATATCCCTCCTCTTTACACACTCTGTTGGTTGGTGACAACATCGATGCTCCTTATATTCGTAGGGATGGTTCTTCTTAACTTATTTTCTTTTGCTGGGTGGTTTGTTTCGGCCCAGACTCTTCTTTGTTGTTTTTATTCCCTTTTATTTATCTTTGGGTGTTTTGGTTGCTTGCTTTTCTGTGGAGCAGGCGGCATCTATTTATGCTTCATATGGTGGATGGTTTTATAATACTAGCATGGAGGCCCAAGGCTCCATTGTCTCGTACGAGATGAATGACTTGGGAGGCCCAGGGCTCCTCACTTTGGCTACGGTTAGGCAGGTTGACTCTAGTACACTTTGGTGGCCTTGCAGATGGGTCTTGCGTCGGGTTTTGGCTTGGTGGGGGGGGGGTTTGGCATGGGGGGTTTTGTGGAGGTATGACTTATGAGATTTATTGCAGTAATCTTTCTGGGAATACTGGTGAGATTGAATATTGGAGGTTAAGCTCACTAATCCAGCTCTACCTTTTTTCTGTGAATGGGCTTGTTATTTTCGATATGGAGGCTCATGGCTCCAAATT